AGCAACTTCCAATTCCTGGGCTTAAGCAATTCTCTTCCTCTGCCTCCCAAGTAGCTGGGACTACAGGCACCCGCCACAGTGCCTGGCTATTTTTTGGTTGCAGCCATCATTGTTGTTTGGCAGGCCTGGACTGGGGATTCGAACCCGCCACCTTAGGTGTATGTGGCTGGCGCCTTAGCTGCTTGAGCCATAGGCGCCGAGCCACCCTTTATATTTTTAACAACAAAAGTAAAGTCTATGTGGTATAAAACTTAAACTCTGAAAAATATGGAAGGATTCTTCAACATATGAAACAGTAAATTAAGTTATTTATATTTTCTGAAGTCATAGAATGGAGAACAGATGGGTGTTATGAATTGCTGTGGCATGGGTAATTTATTTAAGTTTTTTTTGTTTTTTTTTTTTTTCTTTTGAGACAGAGTCTCACTTTGTCACCCATGGTATTTTTTTTGTTTTTTTTAGAGACAGAGTCTCACTTTGTTGCCCTTGATAGAGTGCTGTGGCATCACAGCTCACAGCAACCTCAAGCTCTTGGGCTTTAGGCGATTCTCTTGCCTCAGCCTCCTGAGTAGCTGGGACTACAGGCGCCTGCCACAATGCCCAGCTACTTTTTGTTGCAATTTGGCCGGGTTTGAACCTGCCACACTTGGTATATGGGGCTGGTGCCCTATTGCCCATGGTAGAGTGCAGTGGCATCACAGCTCACAGCAGCCTCAAACTCTTGGGCTTAAGCAATTCTCCTGCCTCAGCCTCCCGAGTAGCTTGGACTGTAGGCACCCACAATGCCTGGCTATGTTTTGGTTGCGGTTGTCATTGTTATTTAGCAGGCCTGGGTCAGGCTCGAATCTGCCACCTTTGGTGTATGTGGCAGGAGCCCTACTCACTTAACTACAGGCACTGAGCCAACATATAGAACTTAGACCGAGTCTCACTTTGGCATCAACATAGTTCTCACTACAGCTTCATACTCCTAGACTTACTTTGTCACGCTAGGCAGAGTGCTGTGGTGGCATAGTTCACAGCAACCTCCAACTTTTGGATTCAACCGATTCTCTTGCGTCAGCTTCCTGAGTAGCTGGGACTACAGGTGCCCATCACAATGCCTGGCAATTTTTAGAGATGAGGTCTCTCTCTGGCTCCTGCTGGTTTTGAACCTGTGAGCTCAGGCAATCCACCTGCTTCGGCCTCCCAGAATTCGAGGATTACAGGTGTGAGTCACTGCAACCCTTATTATTTAGTTTTGAGACAGTCTCACTGTGGCCTGTGTAGAGTGCAGTGGCATCAACATAGTTCTCACTAAAGCTTCATACTCCTAGACTCCAGCCATCCTGCCTCAGCCTCCTTAGCAGCTGGGACTACAGG